AATAATTATCTGTATGTGTGTGGTTGAAGCTTAATAAAAAATCTATAAAAAATGACAGGAAAAAATAATTGTGATTAGTGAAATTATTTATTATGTACATTTTATCAATTTTAATTCCTTTGTAAAAATTTATTAAACTCGATGTTACATGTATATCGTGGGTAACATTGCGAAAATTAAATCCGAAAAATTATAATATTCAAAAAATTTAATGAATTTAACGAGAACATGACAAATTTTCACGATTTATCGTACGAAAAAATTCAATTATCCTCGATAAATATAGATTTTATTCTTATAAGCAAATTCATTTAAACCAAGCATTCTTTTTGCTATTGGAAATTTCAGTTTGTTACGTGATTCAATTTTTAATTTTAATTAAAGTGGTTGATTTTTCTGATATTGCGTAAGTCCATTCTCGTCTCTGATGAAAGTAGAATTACTAAATTCATTTATATTTCTTGCAATCCGATTATTTACGATATTGAGATATGCAAAAATTGCTGCTTCTGTCTTTTAATTAGTCCACTATTTTCTTCTCAACATAATATTAATTTTTTCTTGTTATTTTTTTTTCATATTATATGCCTCTGTAAATAAATGCTGTATGATATAAATGATTAATCTTGTTGTATTTGAAGTCATATCAAAAATTTGTAATTTTTATATTAATTAAATTTTATATTACTCATCCAATCAGTTAAAAAAAATTGCTATCAAATATTTTGAAAGAATCATACATTATTAATTGTATTACTAATTCTTGATTTATTTGATTACATTATACTTATCAATATCATATCATCATATTCTAACAATTACATGATTAATTCAAGATTAATCATTTAAAATCAGAATTATTTAGTTTATGACAGCATATAAAAGTTAAGTCGAATTTCCTGTACACAATAAATAAGTTATGCAAAGATATCGCAACATGAAGATTAAAACAATATATTAGTTAAGATTATTTTTTATAGAAATTAATATCGATAATGCTGAGGATATATTACATTGAAACTTTTATAATCGAGGAACTTTCATTAACAGATACGGAAAAAGTATTCTGTTTATTTGCCAGATAAAAATAATACACCCAGTAAAGTAAAGTTTGCAAAGTTGCGCTTGTTTTCCAGAAGCGACATGAGAGAGGAAAGAAAAATTTGAATACCATGATAGATGTATCAACCATTCGTTGTTGTAAACAAATGTAAATTGAACGCTTTCCCTCTACGAAGTGAGGACATAGTATTACATTTTCTACCTGCGAGACTTCATTTCTCGTACTTTTTTTTTTTTCAAATGGAAATAGTAGAACGGAGTAAAACCTTGTGTAATATGTTTATATGCAAAAGAAAGAATTACAAGTATACAACGAACATAAATTCAAAAACTTTGATTTTTTGTGAATGTGTAATTTTTTTCCTTTATTTATTTTTTTTAAGAATAGAATCTGTTGGATCTTTTATAATTGCAACAATTTTTCATAATTCCATGTATATTTTTTATGAATTCTACATATTATTTTTCTCAACTTTTACCTTAATGTTAATTGCTAAACATATATTTTGGCACTTTTGTTATACAAATGTATAATCATGATATTTATGATATAAATGATATTTAGTTAACAAACAGAGGAAGCATAGAGGAATTCAATTACCAGACTAAAAAAATTATACATATATATATATATATATATATATATATACATATATACGTACGATATAATTAATTGGCAATAATTGTCTTTGACTCGAAATAGTGCAAGGTTGCAATATTAATCGAAAACTTCTCTTAATTGACGATCGATAAACGTTATACGGCTTGACGGGGAACTCGTAACATTGCCATACAGTGAGAATGCAATACAGCGAAGTAAAGTGCAATCTACGATGCGATATAGCGATACACGCCAATCTCGTTAATGGACAATCGAATGTAGCACATCGTTCGCTGATTTATGTTTTTGTCTTTGCCAAAACTCTAACGAGAAAATCGATAATTTTTCTCAACGCGATATTTATTATTTGCGCAAAATTATGTTTGCGTTAAATTATGTTATGTATATTAAACGATATGTCTATTAAACGATATGTCTATTAAACGATTATTGTGGCAGACTGGCGCGCAATGTTAACCGTTCGATTGAAATTGCAGAAGTGGCGTAGTAAGCCGCAATTGACTGGGTGTTAGCCACGAATCAGTGATGCAGTATCGTGCGGCAACGATACCTGTGATCAACAAAGAGCTCATCAATGTTTCCGTTGGGCATCCGCACACCAGAAACATAATAGTTTGTACTGAAAAGACACTGGACGTCAAGCAATTTGCTTTATTTATTGTTAATCCTAACACTCTTACCGTTTTTTTGCGATTTTCATCATTTCTCAATTTAATCGATTTAAAAAAATTTTTTTGTGTGCGATAAAAAGATATATTTCAGAAATCCATGAGAGATAATATTAGTATGTTTTTAGTATGTCTACGATCATTTTCGAGATAATATTAATGTAAAAAATGTTACATATCAAGGCAGGCAAATCTCCATAAATTTTATGTCTCTAATTTCGAATGATTGTATTTGCCGTTCCCATCATCAGCGAATATATCGTTCATCGTTTCACGAGTAATACGTGCAGTTTCCGTGTTCCAATTTCGATGTACGCTCGTATCTAGGCTCAATTATTGGTCATAACGACAATTTTCGCTCAACATCACGCAGTGTTCGATTGCTTTGAGATGAATTAGGCCGATAATACGAGATAATATTGTTTGGCGTTCGATTGGGGTTTGCTAAGTGATAAGAAAATCTGCAAATTGAACAAAGTCACTGCCTGCAGCAGCGCTCAGGAAATTGCGGCACGTTCGCCGAGCGTATATCTGTGAATTAACGATGCAATTGGTAGTATCTGACACACTACGTGATCAGCCAAGGGCTCTCTATCGGCGTTTGTCCGGTGTGTTATCGATTTAACGCGAAAAAAATGCCGTTCGTGCGTACACGACTATGTGAACCGATTCGAAAAATTGGATGGTGTTTTTTAACATGGAGAAACGATGTCCACGTTCATCGAAATTACATATAAATTTCGTTTTTTATACTTGAAAATTGAATGTAATTACAAAATTGAATGCACAACAAAAGAGAAACCAATGCCATCGGCATTTTAATTACTGTTGCACTACGTAGTTTAATAAACTGTTTTACCTAAACGTATATTTAATTTAAAAAAAGAGGCAAAATATATGTTATTTATTTTTCGAGCAAATAATTTATATTCAGAAAATCTTTAACTTTATTTTATTACATTAGCAACGCAACACGTAACCAATAAGCTGAAGAAATTATTGCTTTATTTTAGATTCTTAAAAATGCGTTATATAAAATATTAATGGTTTATTTATTTATTTATTATTGCCAAGACATTCGATCTTGTTTTAGTCGAATCTTTCTCAGAGCGAGATGTCTTTCGTGATCCTCTTTGACGAAACTTTATTCATTTCGGTTCCTGTAATCTGGCTTAATTAAACTTCTACTTCTCGTGCCGCTAACCCGTCTTCAAGGCGGATTAGCCGAACGTGTACCACCTTAAGTTCATATCGGATTCGAACCTGAGACGAACAAAAACTTAACGTCCGGTAGATCCACTGCATTGCGCAACGACACTGTTCAGCGCTGCATTCTCCGTCGCGCTGCAAGTTGAGAATAGATAGAGTACCATAAAAAGAAACAGGATTCTGGAGGATGCGTTTGCGTTTTACGTGCATTTAAAACTCCATTCGCCTTTGTCACTTGATGAAAGCACGTATGAAAGTAGCTGCGATTAAATGACATATCACATAAAAGCATTTCCTTTTTATCGTTTTGATTGCCATCAAACTTTCATCCTGATAATTGTTCACATATACATCGTCACTTTTTATCATCGCGACTATCTAGATATTATTCGCAAAAATCCTTTAAATGTTTTATAAAATCTTCTCTATTTTATATAACACAGACAAAATTAAATTACATTGAAATTAATTTTGCATATAGAACATCTCTCTTAGAAGTTTTCTTGAAGCAAAATAGAATAATAATGCTTATTTCAATGTTAAGAAACTTGAATCATAAGAGATGGATGATATTATTTACATAAAAAATATTTTACCAATTCAATTAAAATCTAAGGGTCACGTTGGTTTACTATGTGTGTGTGTTGTTTCTACAACCTTAATTAGACAACCTTCCAAGTGTCGAAACTCGATACGAGTCAGCACAGCACCTCGCCAAGAAAAAAAGAAAACAGCGAAAAAGAGCTAAGTCAGCAGGCGCTATATGTGCGTTTATGCTACACGCGCGCGCACACATGGCGGATTAACTTGGCTAGTACCTAAATATAGAACATATATGACCTGCTTATTTTTGAAAGTGGAGTAAATGAAATTTCGAAGGACAATAAGTTTTTAAATAAAATATATATATATATGGATAGATGTCATGTCCATATATTGAAACATTGTTTAAAATTTATTTTATAAATAAACTATCGGTATTTTGAAATTAGAATTATTGGCTGAACGATAAGAAAAGAAAAAATACTAGTACTGTCTGGAAATTATTGTAAACATATTGATATTTGCACTTTTATTGGCAAGATATAAAATAATAGATTATTCCAATTCTTAAGAATATCAAATTGCATAAACTTTAAATACCTAGGAATACATCTAAATATGTTCTATAACTGTTATATTTCTCCCAATACTGTGGAATTTGATTCCACAATCATATTAATAGAGAAAAATAATGAAAAAACACGGGATTTTTTTACTTTATTTTTTCATATTTTTATATTTTTACTTTAACAAAGTATCTTAATTTTTATTTGAAGCTCAAAACATCCATCAACTTTTCTCATTTTCTCATTAGTCTCGAATCCAATATCGTTGAAGAAAAATGTGATTATCCCGCGACATATTTGTTAGAATACCCGCGGGTGTTTCTTACTCACCGAGTACGAGTAACAGCAGAACTTGTTGCGGGAACCGAACCACCATTGTGGGCCCGTCCGCTCGCACATCTATGAATTTAAATCGAGCGATCCTGCCGTGCCCCCTCGATTTTCCCGTCACGATCGCCAACGCCCGCCGCAACAACATTCATTTAACGATCTGTCGGGCTTCCACGTGTGCGTATGCGCCGCTTATCCAGTTCGTCCGACCAGGCACGGACCTTTTCCACTTTGCACCTCCTTCGGCGCTTCCTGTTCCTCCTCCTGGATTGGTATTCACCAAATCCACGAGAGTTCCGGCATTCGGAAAACAGCCACTTTTGTCGATCGAGGTGCACACACTCACGCCCGATTAATTTCCCACGGCGACGTGACCACTCGAAATTCGTGGGAATTCAGTGCGAATCAGTACGATTCGCAGCGATACGCGATCGCGCGAAATGCCCGCGGCATGCGTTGCTAAAAAATGATAGTATTTTTGTATTTTGTTTCCTCTTCCTTTTTCCTCCCCTTTTTTTCAATCGAAACGCGATTTGATCAGGTGGCTTTATATTAATCGGCCCGCGGCGGTTCTCGCGAACGGTGGCTGCGATTGGACCGCGTTCGACAATCCGGTATCTGCGCACATAAATATTTTAGGGCCGCGTTTGCCAGGATAGGATACGGTAGTAGATAGGATGGATGGACAAACGGACGAGAGGTACCGAGAGATAGACTCGCGGGAAAAATAATTTACAAATGAAATACAACTTGACACTCGCCAGATAGTATCGGCTTGTGAGTATAACGGAAGCAGTCGCCCTGTCGAATGTTGTCGTTGACAGAAGTTGAGAAGTAACGCGTGGGAGATTGAGTTTTACGTATACATATGTGTGTATAATCATATACGGTTTTCGTATACATGTCACATACATGCGTATGTGCACTTCATTAGCAATCGCCGTGGACTTTTGCGACAATTGCGTCCTGAAGAACTAAAGCGATGGTTAAATTGAAAACCGATAAGTTCTTTCTTCTCGCAAGTTACCCAATTGCCGTCGACTTTCTGCTACGAGGGATGTCTTTCCACCCGAAAGCGATTAGCGTCATTCAATTTTCGAAAAGTATTCCGAGAGATACGTACAGATTTAGCTATCATTTTTATATATCATTTTATAATATCATTTTTTTTCATTTTAAATTTATAATATAAATTTGTAACATTTTGAAAACAATGTGAAAAAATATTTTTACGATTGTCATCGAAGATATTTATCTATTCTGATGTGAAGCTGTAAAGTGGGATATAATGTGCTAGAAACTCTCTCGTTTATTGGATAATATATTATAAAAGTGAAGATATACATCAAGCAACGAGCGACGAGATAAACCTGCTTATAATATCTTGTATCCACAATATTCTAGGCGAAATCATACAATCGCACGCGTCGATTCGCATGTAAGGCGCATGTAAAGGCTTTATTCCGCTACATTATATTCCACGTGTTATGTTCGCTACTCGAAATAATCGAGTTACTGTAATATCGCAGAGCACAGTTGAAAAGGCGACAGTCGAGCGGAAAGCCGATTCAACTTAAGCGCGAGATATAGCCCGCGTTTAACGTATTCAAATCTATTTTATTTTTCCATTTGGTTCAACAGATCGTGACAAGGCAACGGCGTGAAGCGCCGTTCGTAATTTTAATTGCGTATTAAAATGCGAATGTGCGTTTCGCACAAACGATTTTCTATTCCTCAGGGTCTCCTACATTCACACCGTTTCTGTTCACCGTTCATTTTCTCCCCTGACGCGGATCCACTTCTTCTCTATGGGGAATAAAAACGATCGTTTAGCTCGTGCCGCAGCGTCAACAGAGCGAAGGTAAAAATCGCGCGACACTCAGCGACGAACGGTGACGCCTTTTCGCGCTGCAATATCACGAATATAAGCTTTTTACCGAGGTTCTTCATTCACCGAGGCTTTTCATTCGTTGTTAAATCAATTATTTGAATTAATTTCTTTTTTCAAAAAATATTAAATTACTAGAAATGTTTTATATAAAATATAAAATCCTGGAAAAATCTGTATTTTCTGTAGTCTCTATAATTTTATACGTGAAATTATTTCATAACAGAAGAAAAGAATAAAATATATCTTTTATCATTTTCATATGAAAGTTAGTTTTAATGGAGAAAAAATATTGCGACAATTACATATAGTTAAACGGAAGTCAATTATAGAAAAAAATGGTTAAAGGGTTGTACTCTGACATTCATATACACATATTTATATATCAATACTTTTATAATAGCATATCTCAAATTATCATAAAAATTTTTATATTTATAGAAAGAGTATAATACAAGTTATCAACTTTTCGTTTCATAAATTTTTCATTAAAAGATCTTCTGTTGCAAAGTATTTTGCATTCACAACCGCACTGGGGTTGTCGCCCTTTTTTCTCTACGTTTAGCTGAATATGCATGAATGGCGACGAAGGGCTACTTGGTAGAATCGAGTCCTATCTACACTCTTTCGAGTTTTGTCGCAATTTCGTTCAGTAATTCGCATGATTTTCTATCCTTGACATTTTACATGTAACTTTTCTGTCTTTTAAATCATATTTCACATTATATTGTGATATGTTTTTAAATTACATTTAACATATGATGTAACGGATAATATCTTTTTATGATTATTCGTCTCTGTAATAAAGAAAGTTACAGTATTTGCGAATTTAACGAGCTGGTAAAAATATAAAAGTTTTTTATCTTAAAGAAATTTTGTATTATATTTTATATTCTAGCTGTTTTTTTCACAAAGTTTTTATACTTTAACTTGTATTCGTTTTTTATATATTTATCTATATGTTTGTCAGTTATATATTCCGTTCACGGCCGAAAGAAACGGAAAAATAATTAATATTTTAAATAAATTTTGTGACAGGAATCATTTCATCAGAAGGAAAAACATGTCACGTTAGATATGTGCAGGTAGTTTTGATTTTTTCATCGAATTTCTAGTAGTTTATTTATTCATGAAGATTGTTGATTTTTAGTGAATGCATGCTATGTAGAATTTATAATTGCTAAAATTTCTGCATATTGCAAGCATTGCTAAAACTCTTTTTATCCGTGCGATATGAAAATAAAAAATTAATGCAATTAAAAAATTTAAATATTAATATGATAAATTGTCAACATTTACACTCTCCCATTATCAAACATTGATTATTCATGTCACGTTGTTCTTTCTAATAAAAATAAATTTTTCTTATAGTAAGGCGTCACCGGTAGAAACGGTACGTGTGTGGAATACCATATTTATTCGCGCTCTTAAATCTTTTTACAACGGTAGCTTTGTGCCGAGGAATAACATCGATAATTAATTGAATTATGATATAATTATCTTAAGAGATTCCCAAGATTTTTGACTTACGTCACGTCCGAAACGTTTGGCTTACGCAATTGAGAAAATTCCGAGGAAGAGAGAAATGATCGGGTGAACGAGTTTTCACATACGCGTGTCTGGAATACTTGACATTTCCTTTCTCTGCGCACGTATTCCTTTTCAGCGGTTGACGTGCTACTCTTTTTGTAAGAACACGCTGCAGCCTTTGCCGCGAACGTTCCTCAAGAATAGACGTGCTCTCGTTCCATATCTCGCGGTCCACATTCGGGCGCAGCATAATTTCCGAGGAATCTCAGAGCTCCATAAACGCCAGAAACGCGAGGACGCTTTTATATCGTCACGCTCGCGTGAAATTCGTTCTTTCGTAAAGAGGGGATCTCAATATGGATCCCTCGATTCGAATGTCGAAAATGGATTTATTATGTCCCTGACATGTATTTTGAGAGCCGACATTTGAGAATCTGTAGTTATCTCTTCGGGAAATGTGCCAACATTCTTCGAAGTCAGTCATTTAATAACGAAATAATATCACGTATTTTCGCGCTCATCTCGATGTCATTATATCGATGATTATTTCTGGATTATCTTATCAAAGCTGCCTCAAGGAAGCGCGACGGCTGCTCCCGAGGCCGCTTGGCGAGCTGCCGACATTTTTCGCGGATATTTTTGTCACACGGCCCACCGAAATGCATCGGTCCAAATCGCACACCGTCGCCGCTACCAGCTTCTCGTATGTAATTCGCGTAATCTAATGGGAATTTAATCACGAGCGTGTCTCGCACACGATTCGCAACTAGATACGTACAAAGAGCCGGTTCGGACGAGACGATTCTCGTATATATATCCGTTTCAAGTCCTCGTCCACGCGCGACCTGCGTTTCAAAAACACGCGCACTTTTCACTTGTCGTCGCACACGGAATGCACGCACGAATGCATACACGTGTTCCCGTTTCGCGCGGAGTCAACTGTAACGTCACGTCGCTGCCAAAAGAGCGAGCGAGCGAGCAAGTAGTACAACCCCGTCACCTCACGATCCGTCGCGCGCGGACTCCGACCGCCGACTGACTACTAGTCATGGTCTGTGCTCGGTGGCTGTTTCTACTGTCTCGCTCGCGCGCCTCTTTCGGCGCTGTCTCTCTCCATCTCACCCGCCGCCGACGCATTATCCTCCTAAGATCTGAGGCTAGCGCAAAGCTCTCGTAAAAGCTCCAAAGAAAGCAATCAAGGTAATAATTGCCTTTTTTACCGAGCACGCCAGAATGCGTTTGAAGCCACAATATATGAGATATTGATTGCAAAATAATAATTTTTAAGCAATAGACGTTTTATTAAATATTTTAATTCTGGGTGTATTTAACGATATTACCATACATTATATAAATTAATAGAATAGAATTATAAAAAATATTAAATTAGATATATTAAAATGTACATCTAAAATATAAAATATTAAATTAGATTTATAAAATATAGATAGAATTATAAAAAATATTATACTACGATAAAATTGAGTGATATTATTTCAACCATATTGATACGTATATAAAATGTTATTTCTATCTTTTACTTTCTATTATTTTTTTGTAATTATAATGAAATAATACACGATCTAATTGTATAATTTTATTACACGCTATTTATAATGAAAAAAAACCTAATTGACAAAATAATCAATTAAATTGGAAAAAGAATAAAATTGATAAATCGGGAATAAAATGTACACTTCTTTTTCTTAATTTTAAAATTATTACAGATGAATCATAGAACTGGAATTATCAGCACAAGAAATTAACGGAAAAAGCTTTAATTATAAGAATATCAATTTTATGACATTATGACAGGAACGAAATTAATAACTTGATATTAACTTCTTCCTTCTCAATTATAGCAAAGTTCGAGAGATCATTTTAGCTATATTATGATAATTGTTAGTCGCAACTTTTTGATAAAAGTTTCTGATTTAGTTAGCGTGCAGTAAATGAAACTTTGTTACTGTTGAAAAGTAATTATGAATCTTAACCAATCTAGGAAGAACCAATCTAAATATTTTATTCTAACTCTTTTTTAACAACATTCTTAAAAAATCTTTATATTCTTAAAAAATCTTTATATTGCTAATAGCTAAAGAAATATTCTAATGCAGTAGTTTCTAACATATTTTGGATAATAAGAAAAAATATATTTCATATAAAATTTATTATTTAACCTGTCTATGAACAAAATATTTTTCAATTTTGTAAAATTTGTTGGGTGAAGGAAAGTTTATGTTGATGACAGGGTTAAAGTATAGTTATCTAGTGATAGAACATTGTGTGCGAGTGAATATTACAGCCCAGAACGGGCATTCTTATGGAAAAGCTATAACGCGACAGTCTGATCGAGCACCTGTCGATGGCAGACTTTGGCCAGCTTTTTCCAATCCGCCCAGGCATTCAGCGTCTGCCGATCACCAAAAGCGATGCTTATTTGCATAGATTGCAGACTGCGGTTGCGCGTATGGTGATCAATTTGAGCATTCACAGCGCTATTATTTCGATAAAATTCAAAAATGCAATAAAATTAAAATATTCAGCATTTAAATATTCATATTTTTGAGATTCTAAAAAATATTAGAAAAAATGTACTTTTTAAGTTTCGAGAAAACTCAAGAATAAAAAAATTAAATATTTCGTAATATAAAATCTGTGTGAAATAATAAATTAATTTTCAGAATTTTTCTAAATACAAAAAATCTGTTAAATTTACTCTATTTTTTTCAACTAAAAGATAATTGACTCGCTTTACAACTTGATATTATATGGTTTTAAAATTATTAACTTTATTAAAGTTATTATTATATTTTTATTTTGTTTTTAAAGATGCTTTTTCATATATTGACGGAAATACTATTAAAAGAGCGTCATATTAATATCTTTTGCTATTTATGTGCGGCGCGTTAACCTTCCGATTTATTTTAAGTTGTCTTCCTATCTACGTGACGTTTCGTGTTACGTAATATCGTTTTCGCAATATCGTTTAAGGAGTTCATTGACGAAATAATACTTGTATTTCTTTCGCATCAAATATACAGCGTCCTAGTGTAAATACGAGGTTCCGACGAATACTGAGAGATTGCCGCTCGTTTACGGTTACCTTCCATTTCTACTCAGAATTCTACTATTATTGCGGCGCGACTAGAAGAAAGATCTCTCGAGACGCATTTCCAAGAGATTCTTGTCGCTCTCTGTGCGGATCCATTGAAGAGCACCGAGTCCTTTGTCGGTTTTTGAGGTCGCCCCGTCTTATCTCTTCCTTATATCGTCTTCTCATTCCCTTTCTGCGGTATCGTCCTTCGATTTTCCCACAACCGATTAAATATTACGTTCTCAAAGGAGTATCTCGCATGAAAATATTCGGTATATCACGTTGAAAACGTTGAGAGTCTATCTTATTTTTCAAGATCTTGTGCGTTAAGAAAGTAAATAAATATATATCTTTTTTTTAAATCTTTAGAGAGCAGTATGCTTTTATTTAATAGGCTATCATTTTTTTAATAATAATTGTTTAATAATTTAATAAATTTTAGACTATCGTTTTTTTGGATGTTAATTTATTATATCATTCAAAAATTTTTAAGGAAGAAATAAGATTGAATGAGCAATCGAGCATTTGCAATCGGTAGAAAGAAAAATTATACTTGCATTTAGTTTTCGTTTTTCTTCCAGACAGCAATCAGAGTTATTTTATGAGAATGTTATATAAACTCATTAATATTATATATGGGAAATAGAGTGATTGAAATTATACGGTAGTTGTAGCTAATAGGATTTAATTCCTCGCTGCGTAATGATAGTAATAATTTTTAATTTTCGTAGAGAGCAGTTTTATATAAGGGATATTTCACGGAGTTTTTACTTTTCCTTTTTGTATTTAATCATGAAACTAATCGGGCGAGTAAGCTGGGAACGAGAAAATGATGGAAATGATGAGTCGTATAAATATTACGTTGTAAAGCATCGCTCGTCAGTGCTTCCTTCACTTTTATTAAATAAGATCAAATCGCAATACAGTTTGTGCGTCGCGATTGATAGATACAAAAGTAGATGTTATTTGAGGATGTCGATGACTAATCAATATTAAGATTAATGTCATAATTTACACTTGATCTAGTGATTACTTATGATTTAGCTCGATATGAGCGCCAATTCGCGAGACTTGCTTATTGGCTAAAGAATCAGCACGAGACAAGATTTTGCGTTACTTCTTTTCTGTACGAGATTGAGGACGGATTTAAGACGGATAACGGGAGTCGGTGCAAGATTCTTTCGCATCGTCTGCGCACGCACACGTTCTAGCGCCCTGGCCGTCCGGTAAACATAGTTGATCCTTGTTACACCTGCCATTGTCGTACTGGCACACATTGGTTACTGCGAATAATTAAATTGTAAATATTAATGGAATTTCGACGATACACTAAATTCCTAGAATTTATTTTTAAAGAGTATAAAGTGAATATTTACAAAAGTCTTATTAAATTATATCTTTAGCAAAATTTGACTGGCAAAATTTATATCAAGAAATGTATTTATGGAGATGAAATTTACTTCTAGGACATGACTCAGGAACGACCACAATGCCGTACAGTTTTCCACTTCCGCCTGGCGGGACAGATAACGGGGTGCGTCTTTCGCCATTAATTTTTATACCGACTTCGATCTTATTTCTGCAATGTAAGTGGCGTAATATGTAAATGTTTCCGGATATTATATCGCTTCTCTAACTTCTCTAAATGCTTCTCTAAATGCTTGATTGCCTTACGTTTTCCAGTCAGTCCAATAGTAATAATTTTGAGATATTGCCAAGCCAAATGGATAAGTAAGTTCATTAGCGACGATGTTGACTTTTTTGCTATCTATTTCGATACAGCCTAAAAACAAGAGATTATTTATTGTCAGATTAGCAAGTAATGAAACGTATTGCGTCATCGGATATTTTTTTTTCTTAAGATTAATGAAGATGCTATTTCGACGTGTTCATGTGATTAAAATCTATATTTACTTATCGTAAACGTCCCAGCGTCGGCCCAACACAGTTCATCCGTCGACCAATCAATACTTAATGAATTTGGTAGCTTAACGTAATCACCCTGAAGGAAGATGGCTCGGTCTGTACCATCTTCATTAGCCCACTCCAATTTTGGAGAGGCACGATTCCAGTCAGACCAAAATATTTTTCTAAAACAAAAATATTATTTGTAAAAATTCAAATAATTTTACAAAATTACATCAATAAACTCAACTCAATAATTCAAATATAGATATTTAAATATATGTTCAAGATATTAATATTATAAATTTAAAATTTTATTTTAGCGCATTTTGCTATTTTTATTAAAGTATTGAAAGTTAATTTTAGATTGCTTAAGAAAAACTGTAGACCTAAAAGAAAATATAAGATACATAAATATAAGATATAAGTTGGTGTCTTCTAAATATGTAGAACAAAAAATAAATCACGATCAGAAACCCGGAGAGAAATTTTATCGTTGTCATTGTGCAAATAACATACGCAGGAATCGTTAGAATAAAATTGGAGAGGATTTTGAAGTTCGTGGAACTGGAAAGTTCTACAAATAGATTTCTGCACGCTTGTGTATATTCTTACCCCCGATATGGATGAACAGCTATTCCCCTCGGATTGACCAGACCATCGGAAACGAGGACTTTGCGTTTCTTTGTTACAAGACTGGCAACCTCGACGGTCGTCTTGCCTGAATCGGTCCAGAAAATGTTTCTTGAGACCCAATCGACCGATAGTCCTTCGGGACTGCTAACTTTCGGAATAAATGTTTGCGCCATCGATCCGTTGTAAGATAGTTCCACTATTCTGTTACCTACGGTATAGGTGAATTGCCATTTTATTCATTTCAAAAATATCTCGTTCGTTTTCAATTTCGTTTTCCTCTCTCATTACATCGACAATTAAAAAATATTAAACAATAACAAATGACAAATTGTTGTAAACAATTGTATTGTAAAAATAAATTTGTCGCATTTATTCCAGAATATCGTAGGATTATAGGCTCTTTGTTAAAAGTATAAATAGTATTATTTCGTAAAATAATAATTCTAAAAGTCTAAAATGTGATTTTTAACGCATAATATTGGTAAATTCGGTGCAAATCGACTTTTGAATATAAACGAGCAATTACCAGTAATATCACTGGAGTAAGCTTTGCCGTCGAAGCAATCGATATCTAGGGCAATCGCCATTTGCGTATAAGCTATGTAGATGGGATTTCCTGGATTCTGTTGCGTAGGCACGAATGGTATCCGATGCGTAGCCATTCCTTGGTTTACCAGCAAAAAGTTGGAGTCGTGCTTCGGCCGGTGCTTACAATTGATGCCGTCGCCGATGAAACCCTCGTTGCAGACGCAAGCAAATTCGTTTTCGCCGGCCGACACGCATGATGCGTCCGAAGAGCAGAGATTCGGGTCGCGTCTACACGAAGTGTGAGGAAGGCACGTGAAACCGTCACCATAGTAACCCTAAAGGCGACAATATTACGATCATTACATGTTATGTTACATGTATGTTACATTATAAATGAGCTTGCCAAGATATATTTTCATACCCTTGGTTTTATGACTGTATTATAAAATTTATATTCATAAGTTTATTTTACTCTTTACTTCTCTCTTTTTCTCTGGAATAAATAGCCGCATGTTCTCTTAATTTTTAACTACTACACTGAGGGAAAAATTTTTTTGAATCAAATAAATTTGTTTTCTTGAAACTTTTGCTCTAAATGGAAGGAATTGTTTATTTCATTTAAGTAAAAGCATTTAATTTTAATTAAATATGCATGTTATATTAAGTACATTATTTTCATTTATATATTTTTTATATTTAAATACTATTTTCGTAAAATATATACTATAATTTATTAAATTAAATATATTATTTTTTTAAATAAAAAATTTAAAATTTTTGGAAATAAAAATGCATTTTAATAAATATTTTGTAAAATTAAAATAAAAATATTTAATTAAAAATTATATTTTTTTAAGTATATATATATTTTTAAACATATGTAAATAAATACTTAACTTAAGCAAACAGACGTTTTAAATACAAGTAAATACGTGATTAGTACTCACCGAATAAATAGCTTTCTTGAGTTAACTAAAATTTTTTTATTTCAAGATAATTTTTCCCTCAGTGTAATATTTAAAATTGACTCGATAAAAGGCAGTGTAAGTATTTCTCGACGTAGCACGAGACGAAAACAAATGACGTGCAATAATAACAAATTTGATTATCATATGATACACATGTGTACGCACCGGTTGACAAATGCAGGCGAAATTTGCGGATGTTTGATTGTATCCACAAACTGCGTTTCGACCGCAGTTATTCAAAACGTTACAGCCGATATGATCCTCCACGCACTGGCGCATACCGTCGCCGTGATAGCCGCTTATGCAGACACATTTATAGCCGCCGTCGCCGGACGACACGCACTGCGCGTTGACGTGGCATTGAGAAGGATTCGTCGAGCAATCCGATAGCACGCATCGATCGTCCACTAAGCTATATCCGGGACTGCAAGTACATTCGTAGCGCGAGCTGATGGGATGGTAGGTGCATCGTTCATTCTCTTCGCATTCGGAATTATCGTTGCACTCATCTAAAAGAAAGTCACCAGAGAATATGTCAGTTTTCTGCGCATTTCTCGACTCGTATTATTGCAGTTTGAAAGACAAGAGATTTTGAGATTTTATCGCCTGAAATATTGTAATTATTATAGTCTAATTAAGAATTCGAAGCTCATGATTGTGTTTCTTGATTTTATGATGCGAAATGTAAAGGCGATATGCATGCACGGAAATTGCCAATCGAAAGAACAAAATTGCATTGACATTCCAAAGCGCATCGTGCGCGGGACGAGTGAAAAAAAATTAAAAAAAATAAGGATAATGAAAGCACCGATAGGACTGCATGTTGTTCCATCGCCTTCATATCCTGGATTGCACACGCACTTTGCTAGCGGCTCCTCGTGCTGGCAAGACGCATTGGGATCGCAGATGTCCACTTCCAAGCAGGATATCTCTGCGCGAAGAAAAAAAAATCGTATCGTTGTATTATTGTTAACATACCTTCGCGCTCCTTTTATAATTCGGATTTTTTCCTTAGGAAAAATATTATGAAATGCAAAAGCATTGGAAAGCTCGCTAGTGTTTCGAGGAACAAGATATAATTTTGAATTTTATGAACAATTTTTACAAACTGAAAGAAAAGAGTTGCGCGATTTGGAAGATTTTTTTTATTTTTTTACAGTTGTAAAAAAATGTTTTACAAATGTACATGTAATTTTAAATAATATATCGCAAAATATTATAAATATTATATCGCAAAGTTTAAAAAGCGCGCTTTTTAAAATAATTTAATGTATTGCTAAATGCAGATGCAAGATGCAAGCGCGCTTTTTAAACTTTGCGATATAATATTTATCATTTAAAATTACATGTACATTCACACGTACCTGTCTTGGTGCATTCCATACCGTCGCCCTCGTATCCCGGATTGCAGCGGCACTCGTAATCGCCGGTACTCGTCACGTAGATGCATTGCGCGTAGGGATGACACCTGTTCACCACGTTGCAAGATACTGGACACAAGCGTGTGCGCGATTATGATACATTGCACAGCAAGCGGCGACGATAGCTGGCTGTCCCGATAGCGAGACCGAAAAATTTAATGGAAACGGCTAGATTTCGCGATGTTACGAACACTTTATTATCTTGGTCAATAAAGAGTTACGAAATAATTACTGAATAATTTTTCTGCTAGTCACATGTGTAAGACATCTCGAAATCTCTAAATTTGTTTTTCGACAGATATATTAGCGACTCTGGGACATGCTATTTTTATTTTATATCTTTGCGAAAAATTTATCTCACGATTGCAGCATTGCGCGAAATGAAAGTTTCGCGGAAGAAAATATTGTTCAGAGAATATTAAAGTTGATGCATTAGATTTTTTATTGCAATCATCAGAATGTCAAAACTTATTTTGATATGTAACTTGAAGTATCTCGAATAAATATGAAAAACATTTTCTCAGCAAAGTAAGAATTCGTGTCACATAAATTATTTCATATCTTATATTCGTGTGTAACATAAATACTTTAAGATAATATGTTAGTGTATTACTTACAACATAGATATTTAAAAAAATGTACAAGTTTAATGAAATTAGAATATTTTTATCACGTTTGAATACTTTGATCTTCGTAGTTCTTTCTTAAGGGAATTGCATGCACTGCAGACATCTTTCCTAATTTTGCAAGATAATCTTCCATCGTACTTTTCACTAAAAGGTTGCACGTCGCAAGTTTCTGAAAGTGAGTTTAAGGACTTGGAAGATGGCGAAACTTGGAGTATACTTATTTGTAGAACAAGTTTTCTTTCTTGTTCGCACTTTTCCGTCCTTCGAAATATCTAAGTAAGATACGAATTCGTAAATTCATGCGATTCATATCGAACTTCGTAAAACGAAATGCTGTTAACACATATCATTACATTATCTGCAATTTTGCTTGTTATAAAAACATTTAATACTACTTTTAATTCTCGCGCAATTTGCGAGCTCGTAAACGTTTTAATTAATTAATGAGATAAGAGAAAGATATACATATATCGCATATAATGTAATGAAATTAAAACAGTAATGTAATTAAATTCAAACAGAAATAAAAGCAGCATGCGTTATTGCGAACTCGTTAAAGAAAACAACGTGCAGAAGAGGTGCTTGACATTCATTATTAAACATAAATAGCTTAAAGCCAAGCAGTGAATGCGTCGTACGGTTAGATCCTGATGGACCCATCGTGTCGTGGTGGTATCCTGGCAGCGGAACGCAAATTTGTTCCAAATGGTCGTAATCGTATCCCATGGGACATATGCAGACGTCGTCGAAGCATTCCGGGAGCGGATGTGCCGATACTAAAACGCATTATGCATCGACGAACGATGTTCGTCGCGTTAACGATCGTAATCTCGCTTGTTATTAAATATTGATCATCGTCGCATCGCGAGGAAAATTCGACTTATTCATGTTAATTTATTTACATGCAATTACTCGTCGTGTAAGTAATTATTTATCAAATTATTTTAATTTTCAACTGCATTTTAGTTTTCGCGTCTAATTGAATGATCCTCGGAGAAATATGAATGTAATGCTTCAATCATCGACAAATATTACCACACTGAATATAACGGAAACATATATTGCACTGACATAGTTATATTTTAGCATAATTGAATAAAGCGGAATTTACTGTATTTTATAGTATATTTATTCTGTTGCTGTATATACGATTTTATTGTTCCAGTTGATTCTCGTTAAATTTCGTGATTTATCATATGTATTAGTGCATATTTAAAATATTACACTTTCATGTTTAAATATTAAATATTACTTTAAATATTTTCATATTACTTTCATGTTTATATAAATTTTTTTATAACTAAATTATATATACATTTAAAATTTAATGTTTATTACGTTTCCCCGAGAATCTTCAATTTTGTAATAATACAAACACAATAGAAAGAATTGTACTAATACTCAATTAATTAATTATTGTTGTGCAATCAAATAATTATCGATATGTAGAATCCCTCCATGCAAAACATGCTATGATGCATATGCGCAATAGCATGCTATGATGCATTCGAATAACGGAGAGAACTTGCATCAATCTAATTCGTGCTAAAACTTTCACGTTTTACGAAAACCGTTAATATATCGATTATGAGATTATTTTTCGTGCAACTTACAATCTCTCAACTTATAGTCAACTGTCGTAGACTCCTCTCCCTCTTGCCTTACGCAGGCATGGTTACGGAATTCCCAACCGGTCGGACACCAACACACCTCAGTTAGACATTGCGGTTGCGGTGATTCGTCTGTTGTGGTGGTGATATCGGATTCGGAGTAACACGTGTATCCATCGCCTATAAATAATTGCATATATGAATAACAGATAAAATATTTGATATATTGCATTGTAGTTATGTGTGCTTAAAGCGATTTTTATATTATACAAGTATTCGATTATGATTTGCAATTTTTAATGTAATTACTTTATTTTTTAAATTTTCTTAAAACTTATATTTGAACTAAAATAATAATCGACGTTATCACTAAAGAATCATGAGAAGTGCCAGCATACAATTGAAATTATGAAAAATAAAAGATTCAAAGGTAAATATCTCTTACGAACAATACATATATGGCTAGATAATTATTTGAAAAAAATTTTTTATAAGTTTGCGATAAAATATTATTTTCCATTTATGACTTGTACGAATTTATACTGATTTGCATATATATTTGGTTGAATTTTTTTTTGTATATATTTTTTATATTTTCAAATTCTTTTTAGATTATTAACAGTAGGCAAAGATTTTTTCTGGAGCTTTTCACTCACCGACATAATCGGGCATACACTCGCAAACATACTTCTTCCTATTTTCGTCAAAACTGCAAACCCCGTAGGGCGAACAGTTATCCTCTTCGTTACAGGATACTGTAAAAGCAGTTTTCATTGTTGTCAGCAAAATATGATCAGCAGTTTTTTGCCATACAGTCTATTATATTGGAAAACATTTTACCATGCTGAGCGGGTAAACAGCCTTGTTCTGTTTCTTCGAAACCAGGCATACAGACACACATAGGTGCACCTTTGATCATTGCACATTGTTCATAATCCCCGCAGCGAGTATCTTCGCAAGATGGCAATCCTATTACGGATAAATAAATTTTAAATAAGAAATTAAATATTACTGAGCGTATTAAATAGTTATGAACTGAGAGATATAAAATATTATATAATTAGAGAGTAGATATAAAAAATTATATATACTTTAATTTAATATATTTAACATATAAATATTTTATTTTGTCGAAATATGGTATATTTCTAAATATTTTCAAAATTGAAATTAATTTAAAAATAGAAGTTAACCGAGAATATTATCAGATGTCAAGACTATTTTCGTCGCTATCAGCAGTAAGAATTTGATCGACTTTGAAATGTTACCACAATACGGTAATTGTAATTTTAAGATACAATAATTTATTATGAAACGAAGTTGCAGTTACTTTCACAAAGTCGACCGTCCCCGCTAAAACCAGCTCTGCATTGACACGTATGACTGCCTTCTTGATTAATGCATTGAGCGTCTGGAGAACACATGTGATTACCGGCCGTGCATTCGTTCACGTCTACGCAAACCGCACTGCCGTCCTCTTCATATAGATACTGATACCTTTTCACGTAACAAGCAATGTAACAAATGCAATAACATTAACATATAATTAAAGAATCATAATGTGCACAAACATCGACGCCAAAATTGAGAAAATATATTTTTACGAAGATCACATTCAATAAACATTTCTTTTTTGAATATTTATAATTTTAAGATTCTTTCGCAAATCAATTTTATAAAAAAAATCAATACTCACCCTGTGTTGCACACACATTTGAAACTATCCTCATCCACCACGCAGGAGCTGTGATCACCGCAAGTCTGTCGTCCCTGAATACACGGATCCTCCTCTTCGAGGAGCGTTATCTTTGTGTTGACGGCAAATCGAATGATACCCTCGGTAGCCTCGTAAGTAGTGATGCCTCTGGAAAATTTCAATCTGGTCGTGTCATACTCGGGATCGAAGACAGCGTGCGGACATTCCTGATAGCTAATTATCTGGTCCAGCATGAAGGCGATTTCCCGCTCGTCTTCCCCACCGCGTGATAGTTTGCAAGTACGCTCGCTTTGGGCACGGATCACTCCCGCTTGGGTACGAGTGTAGAGTTCGTCGTAATCACCATAGTCCACTTGAGTGTCCCTTTCGATAAGTGGCACCGAACCTTTGATGTTCGCTTCCATCTTTAGTTGACCAAAGACGTCCAATCCAAGATAATTGCTGCGAATCGTCACTTTATCGCCGGTTGATGGGAAGACCAGCTCTGCCGTGTGATTAAATAAACCACCTGTGCGTAGAACATGCTCGTGTGAATAATTATTTCGTAAACGCTACCGCGTTTAACAATTTTGTAAATTTTATGGGTCCCTTAAATTAAAAGAATACAATATCGAAACGTTTGTAATCGTATTTTTTATAGATTCAAATTTGGAAACTGTGACTAATTATAATTAAATTTGTTTATTTAAAGTTACTTTTTTTAAAATGAAGATATTAAAATATGTTAAGATATTATATCTAATTGAAATTGAGTTTTGAAGATTTTGTAGTATAAAGTTACTTGCCTGTAAGTTCATATCCGTTTTCAGTGTCGCTAATAGATTTGGCAAACAGCCAACCGATCACCCCGCCTAAATTTCCTAGAAGTTGAAAACTGGCGCCGATTTCTTGTGGTATTCTTGACAAGGCAGTATATGTTCGTCCATCTTTGGTTTGCACGTAACACTGAAGATCTCTTGACGGAAATTCCACGCCATTGAGCTCGCCAGATATCCGGCCAATAACACGAAGAGGCACGTCTAAAAATTATATAATTTATAATTTATAATATTTATTAATTTTCTATCATTAGCGAATTTTATGATTATTATTGCTTAATCATTTTTTGTGTATACGAGATATTTATTTATTAGAAAAAAATATCATATAAAATTATCTATTTATATTCTTCCATAATCATGTTAAATTGATAATAAGGTAGCATTTGAAAAGATACAATACCGGTTTTCTGCATTTCTTAAAAGCATTGCATCTTTTTTTATGTAATTATTGGCAGGGATACTTGACGCGTACAGTTGAAACGCGATCATCAAAGAGGCGACGCACGATTCATTTCAAAGTATACTGCTGTCTTTACGATATTACCGTGGAAGTCATAAGAATCAATCTCGTAAACTATGAATAGATCAGAGAGCGCACTCGAGCAAACGCAGTTACTTACTGCGATGCATCTATTTGTTCTACGCGAGACGACGTATCTTTGTTCGCGTTAGACGGAGCGTCGTCGGGAGTTCAGAGGGGAACGTTGAAAGATTCCTTCTTTATCCCTGTTTCGAGAATACTTCAAAGGCTGCGTTTGCATGCCATTAACTCGGGCTTATCTCGCAATGTGAGTTTTTAACAATCGTCGTTGATAAATAATTTACCGTTTGGCTGGCAGGATTTCCCGTTGCCAAAATAACCCTGCTTGCAGCTGCAGCAGAATCCGATCTCGTAATCGACGCAGATTGCTTTGCTATGACAAGTGGTAGCACCGGTCCTGCAGCTGGCCGCTTGATGCACAGTTGTAGTATCTAAGAGCATATATTCGTTAATTAACGTTATGCAAGAATAATATCTAATTTGCACGTAGTTTACATAAATTATATTTGTGAGATAGAAATGTTAGATATAGAAATGTTAGATAGAATCGTCTGTAGTTTCGACATACCAAGCATATATTAATATTTTCGATCAATTTTTATAAATAAAAAAATATATAAATTATATATTTTATATTATATAATTATATATATTACAAAATTTGTCGTATTACCTTGGATATTATCGGGAATTTTTATATTTTCGCCTTCGTCGAAAGGGCCGACTTGAAACAGCCAGTGGCCAGGCCTATTTACATTCGACCACCTGAAAACAATTACAACGACCCATGAATACGTCGTATGTGAATATAACCGGCACCTTTACTCTCCCCATTACTCACTTGTCGACATTCTGAATTTGGTCTGTGCCCGAGCCCCTCAGGGTATACATTTTGCCCTCGCTCATGAATCCTGCCTGCGCCTTGGCATCCGGGAGCCCGCTGGGATGCGATTCACCCTGAATCCACTGTATACCATTTTCCGGGTATAGCAGTTCAACAAAGGAATGCGAACCGTTGGATGATATAGCGACTTGATAAGTATTCACCTGAAAGGCGAGACTCGATGAATGCTATTCATGTTCTTACGAAAGCTCACTACGTGTTTATTAATATTTAATTTTCTCTGTGATAAATGAAAAGATGTTTAATAAGATGTTTAAATACAATAAACAAAGAGAGAAAATACTGTAAAAATTTCTTCACTCTGCAAACAACTGTAAACAAACTGTAAACAACTTGCCTTATCGTTACGCTCATTGTAATAACCAACATCCACCCAAGTGGTCAAAAAGACGTGCGTAGGTACGAAGTCGATGGCTTCCTTGAAGGCGCTTCGAATTAGTCCTCCAGCTTTAGCAAGAATTTCGGGAGAATCGATTTCACTATAATAAACCATTCCCGAACCTCTTGTATCGACATGTGTGTAGAGAGGCGCAATTACTGGATCATCAAGAGGAAACGCAATGTTGAAGAATCTTTGCATAGCTCTTGCGAATGAAAGAACGCCATTTCCATTTACCTGAAATCGATTTTTCATCTTTGACGTTCATTAACCGATACGATCCATAATTACGTTCGACTTCAATTTAACGAGAGTTCGGAAGTATTGGAAAATTAGATCATTTATAGAGAGAAATGATAGACGGAATTTACAGAAAAAGAAAATGAAGAGAGAAAGAGAGGTTTCCAAAAGTTTGATTTATTTATGCGATAAGTACAGTTAAATCTACTCAGAGATTCTACACGCAACTTATAATGATTATTTAATATAACTGAAAACATTGTATATATCAATCAATGCACATTCACGATATTAAAGTTAAAATATCAAATATCTGTTAATTCTCCGATGCAGCTTTACAGCCTTTATTAATTGATTGATTGATATATCAGCATTTCCCTCTTTAAAGCAGCGCTTGAAAAAAATTCAATTTATCACATTTTTTGGTAATTTAAATTTGTCGATAGCAGAGTGCATTGATCTAATCGGAATATTACGTTATATCACGTTAATTTCGATGTACAGTCGACACGCGACAGTAAATCAGATCCCGTCTAATGATGCGGACATGACAGAAAGTCAGCATCAGCGGGTCAGCAGGTAATACGTTGACACGAACTGTCAGTGAGAAATCTGACAATGACAATTAGGAGAGGGAGGTGGAGCTCCCACCCAGTGTCGTTGATTGACTGCGAGTCGTACACATGCATGCACGTTAAAATGAGTAAGCGTCTATCATCGAGAAGTCATTCGTTCAATGTTGCGCGTTCGTCGAGAAGACGGCGTCGTGTTTGCGGAAGCTTGCGAAGGAATCATCGGTAAAGGTCAAATCACCAATATATTTATAGAATATTAATGTTTTTAGAAAACTTTATGAAAAAAATTTAACATGTAATAATTGCATCACCTGAGAACATTGAGGATATTATTGTTAATTTTTTTCTTTAAAAATATGAGAATGGAGATATATATAATTGTAAATAATTTAAGGAACATTTGGCGTATTACACACACACACACACACACATACACACACACACACACACACACACACACACACACACACATATATATATATATATATATATATATATCTTATAAAGATTTCAATCTATCATAATTATATCTTTATATTATATAAGATAAATGTATTAAATGTAATTTATATCTATTGTTTATGAGATCTTTTTGCGTTACTTCTTTATGTTGCAAAATTTTCTTTAATTTTCTTGCAAAAATTAATCCTCTAAGAATAACGAGAAAATAAAACTCTCCTCATTATTCTTTGGTATCATTTCAAAGCGGAAAGGAGCAGTTGACACGGTCGTGTTATCCTTACTGGGGCCGCTGACTTGTTTCGTCAATTGGCTAAAACGAAATGCGCCAAACGTGTCACTCTTACTTCACATTGGACACGATGCATGCTTCGTGCAGTGTCGGGTTGCAGCTGTTCAGTAAGAAGGGACTTGCCATTAAGGAGACAAAATTAAAACTCTCCGAAAGAGCGGTGCAACCGTCCTAAATATTACGCTGAGAAGAAGTAATTGGCGTGGTTCTCACATTACTCGCTTTTAGAATTTCAATATTACTCATCTTACTAATCTTGGAATTAAAAAAATTAAATTGAAATTATATAATTATTGTATATTCTATTAAATTTATTTTTAACAAAAGTTTGAGATATTTTAATTTTAATTATATGTATCAATTTTTAATTTTTCAAGAGTTTTCAAATTATTAAAAGAAGAATAACATTAGAAATTTATAAATAATAGAATTTTTCTATAAGTTTTCAAAACAGCTTGCGTGAAACGCAGAATCTTTTATTCGTTTAACATCTCATATTATCTCGAATTTTTACATCCATTCGGTATGGTTTCGTGTTTCAGTCCCATATTCTGATTCATGAGTGTTAATTCTTATGCCACTCGAGTTGGAATGTCCGTTTGCTCAAATGACCTATATTATTTTCACGTGAGGTTAATATTACGGGCGCCGCATCGAATTTAATGCTCTCTTAAGTCGGGTGCACCGTTAACAAGCGACCCGATTCAAGCGAATTGACACGAATTAGGGCGACAAAGTAATAATCCCTATGCAGCACAGACTTGTTTTATGATTTTGTTGCATAGCAAAATAATTATTTCGCTATTTTTGAAGATGTTAATTAGATGCTTTGACTGTATTTCACTCTAACATTATTTTTACAGTACAATTTTTCATAAAAACAAGTTATTGCATTAAATTATTTTTAAAATATGTCGCATATTAAAATTTATTATTGAAATTTTTTATTGTTAAGAATGTTTAAGAGAAAATTGTAGAGTAAATTAGATTTTATTTATTCATACCAAAAATCTTAGAAACTTAGAGAATAACATTAATTAATCCATACATTCATTAATTTTTTAAATATAATTGTATTAGCAATATTATTTCTGTGTGATACAAATTTATTAAAGAGTCTGTTAAATTTTTTTATAAATATCAGAATACCAATACGTTCGTTTCCGCATATTAAATACGATTGCAATTAGCAAAAGTCTATCAATTTTCATCTAGTCAATATCATTTATTCCGTATATATATATATATATATATATATATATATATATATATATATATATATATGCGAGACCGATAATCAACATCGGTCATCGAGGCGTCCAATAATCGATGCCTGGAAATGTCAAACCAGTATTGATAGTCTCACCGAAGCCTGTCTATATGATCGGACATTTTGACATTCGCGTAAGTCAGCTAGTGGGAAAGTTCAGTCCGCTATCATCGCCGAGGCTATCGCCGAGGTCATAGGTCAGAGCCGAGCCGATGACACACACGCACACACATGTGGTGAATAGCAAGAGAAAACGGTGAAAATAGATAACACAGCCTGTGGAAGTAACAGGAGGAATCCATGCTGGCTGCTGTCTCTCTTTCTGATATCATCGATAATCGTTCTGTTTCAACAGAAATAATTTCAAATCGGCTCTCACATCGACGAATATTTCAATATCGAATGCGGAACTTTTTGTACTGAGAAAATCACTTTTTTATTCTTTTTTGTTCTCGGAAATCCCTCGATTGATATGTATTGTGCCTATACATATTTATTACTATATATACCACATTGAGATAAAATATTTACAAAATTAAATCAAAGCTATAAGTTAATAATTACAATCACTTTAACGTTCTTAACTTTAAACTTACGTTTTTTATAAGTATTCGAAAATTTGTGTCTTTATCTCAGTTTTTGTCCGATGTTTATATATTTATTATGTATATCAATTATGAGATGATATAGCTTCGAGGCCATAAATCATATTATCTCAAAATAGAAATGACAAAGAAATGTAACTTATAATAAAAATACATTCTTTATAGATTCTCCAGTCAAAGAATTTTGTCGAAAACAGCTCGGGTCGTAGCATGTATTATCTGCGAGAAAAAATGCACAATAATTTCCATAACAACTTGATTTCCATAACAAACTTGTGAGAGGAAATATTTTCCTTATCTGTCATCCGTTGAAATGAATTTCCATGGTGCATTTCAATGATGCATAAACGCTGTTGAGCGCCTTGTTCGTACAGTACGTCGAGATGAATCGAATTCGTATGCTAATCGCGGACCTTCGGTGTTAGCCGCTAATCTTGGTGCACGTACAATCGTCGGAACATAGTAGCAGCTGCGAATCAACGATGACAGCGAGAGAGATGATGCGGCGGTGGTTTCGGTAACGCATGCCGCACGCGCTAACGTGATCGCGCAATCGGCCGCAATCATTTTGATGACTACGAATCGTCGACGATAAACGACGAAATGAAGATGATTGTTGTGTAGGCAGGTCCTCTAAGTAGACCGTCTTTGTTCATAGATACGTCGCGATATACATCTATGATTGCGATTTGTCACTGACCTGGACTCGCATAATAATGATAATACACTAAAAGTCCATCGAGAAAGCGCTCTACTGGAATTAATTCTCTTAATATACAAATTTTTTTTATAAATTTTGTTCAATCAACTTTTACCTTGATTAATTTTTATTAACGCTAATGATAAATTGTGAGAAAAGAAAAGTTGCGTTTACGCATAGTTTATCTTGCTGATAAATTATCTAAAATTTTATTTTGAAATACGTATCTATGATATAAATAAATTTATTATATAAAATAAACAGAAATAATTTTTAAGAAAATCTTTTTTTCTTATATATCTGAATTTATGTAAGGAAAACATTTGGCAGAATATTTTGCAAGAAATGGTGCAATAAACCGCGGATTATTGTTCGCGATTATATTATTTTTGAACAATTTAAGACTGATTAAACTTTTAAAACTTCTAAATTCTTACTTCTAAATTCGTAATTTATTTCATATCGCATGAAACAAAATTCTCGTCAATTAGTTCCGTTGCCGTCTGCTTTTACGTTTGCATGCGGAAGTCTCTGTGTTTGAATTACAGTTGGCTAGTTTTACATGGCATGCTCGCTTTCCTCGACATTTCCAACAAATTGCACGCCCACAAAGACGTCTGTCTGCCTACTAAACGTACGCGTTGAATCGAGAAAGGCAAGCGAAAACTGAAATATATTCGTAAAAAATAAGTACAACAACGTTCCTTTATGAAATCCCAAACATTAAATTTTAGCTATGAATAATTTCAAGATTATAACAAGATATGTGGTAATATCGGAAGTAGAAAGGAAACTCGGAGAAACGGAAGAAAAGATAACGAAATTAATTGAGAATTTCGTGCCGAGTCTAATTGAACTCTGTCGGCGATGACGAAGCCGGCAACAGAGCCGATCTAGAAGAATTGCGAGCGGAATTTCGTAATTCCTCCCACTAATTCCATTAAATAATGTGGGAAAAAGCTAATTGCACAGCGGTTGCATCGCAGACTGGCTGTCTTATTACATTCTATCTTGATGCGAGTACTTGATTGAGTATAGCAAGAGGAGTTTCTTTCATTGAGTTTTTATGTACGAATTTAGATGAAGGTATAAAATCTATTTTTAATATGATATTTTTACAAAGAATCAAATAATGTTAGTTTTACAGAATACATAAATATTTGTACAACAAAGTGTGCGGCTCTTGCCTAAAGACGCAGGTGCAGGAAACATATTAGTATGATTTTTCCTCGTGCGATTAATGTGAAAAGTTATCAAGATTAATGGCAGATATTTATATATGTATAATCTCATGTTATACGATTCTTACAATCGATATCGCCAAGTGAATGTGCATTTGCTTGCAGAATATTGCAATGGTTATAATATTTGCACACGTTTATTTCTATTGATATTAATTTATATGTGTATAATATATATAATATATAATATATATAATATTATAGATACAATTTAAAGAAAAATTGGATATCAATAAGTATCAATAAATTTAATACATTTCAAGATTTAACACTGCACAAAGTATTTTTAGGATATAACATTTTAGAATATAAAATTAATATATTTAAAATAAAATTAATTAATAAATAAAATTAATTTGTGAATTAAGTAAAGATTTGCCTTGTAAGATATAATCTAATGTAAATTAAATAATGTAAATTTAATCTTAAAATTATATTATCTTATTTACCAAATTTAATATTATATACCAAATTGATTTTTTTTACAAAGCCTGTACCACAAAAATTTTATAGTAATTGTACGCGAAAATTAAAATTAAAATGAAAAATGAAAACAAAAATATTAATTTTACAAGGTAAATCTTGTCAAGCAACATCAAATTTATAAATTTCGAAGTATTTCAGATTCATCGAACTTCTAATTTGATCCGCGTCCAACTTCTCTTTAAACACATACTAGAATCTAAATTAAAAATCTTTTTTTCTATATTTATCTCTCAGCTGTCATTTATACGCTGAAAAGGGAAGAATAACATTATGAATTTTTTAAATTCTCTGGCTCTATCGTTTGATGTATGAAAAATGTAAGCTGTAATGCTATGTAATGCTATGCTGCACGCTCGGTGCACGTGTGTTACAGTAATGTAAAAGAATACGATTATGGTACACGTATTGTTGCAATACCTGCAAAATCGAATCTCCCCATTCTAGGCTCTTAATCCGCCTAGTCTCTCACAATTATCCGTCATTATACTTTACGCCCGTCCGGCTGACTAGCCGGCCGAGTTTCTGCGTGTGATTCGATTCGACGCGCGTCCCTAAGCGAGGCGCACGTACGCACGTCATCAATAATGCGACGATGATTTTGCGGACGCTTGAATTATTGACGGAATACGATGAATGGAACGGATCACGGCGGATCATGGCTCTAATACCGTGCTTTGATAACGGCGACTGCGAAAGTCATACCAATCCGAAAATGAATTTTAGCATTGAAATTCGAAAGCTCATATCCCATATATAGTCTTGCTTAAAACGAAATGTAAAATATAAAATTAACTGGAATATATGAAATATTATCACAAATTGCTTTGTCAACATGTAATCTCGTCATGAATTAAAAAACATACAATTAATTTTTAATACACTTTAATAGCAGATGTATATAATCATATTTTGTTATCTTCTCCTACACACACACACATGCAAATATATATTTTTAAAATTCATGAAGATGTATTATTTTGCTGTACGATATATACGGATTCAATATACATAGATATCAATCATCATAGTTTATTAAAGAGACTTCATGCGGTTAGTCAAGGTTATATAGTCTCAATAGGGAAAACTATTTTCCACTCGAGAAAATGTTGATAACATTGGTTCGCTCTACGTGGAGGCGTAACGCATAAACGTTTCTACGCATGAGCTCATGCACCTTGATTCGCAATAAATTGCTTCGGGGAGATGAATCCTTCGCTTTAATCTGCGCGAGACTAGCGCATAATTAATGTTCATTCATACCATCGCCTCCGCAGTAGTACGATGATTCGCGGAAAAGTTAGATCACGGCGACGTGTCCTGCGAGATTTTTCTAATCGTTTTCACGGTTATTTAATCGTTTGCGCGCTGACTCAAGTGCGTATCAAGCCTTAAATATCTCTCTCTAGCTAACAAGGAAACGGCCGGAATCGTCTCTTTAAAAGTTTTTGATGTCCTTCGGATACGTTGTAGAATAGCTCAAAATAAGAGACATCTTAATGGATGTTTAAGCAAGCAGACAAATTCTAGAAGCTATTTCGTCATATTTGCCTATTTGAGTGAATATTTCGTAAAATATAAATATATGATTGTGAAATTTACTGTTTAATTTCAATTTTATTTATTTTATCGTATGATGTACAAAGCCTAGAAAAGCCGCGGCAATTATTAAAAATTTGAAATATAGTTTAAATAAAAAATATATGCCTCTTATTTTAAAGTTATTTTAAATTTCTTTACACATCCGAAATTGATTCAAATTGCAAAGAAACCCTCTGTGATCGCTCTCTTGTGTTCCTGCAACGTGCGCTTCCTCGAGACACGCTTTCGCTTACGGTCGAACTTCAGCGCGTAAACACTACCGGAATCTTGCGCTTCGTCTTGGCTCGTCTCGATGTGCGTTGCATCGTCTTCCGGTTCGTGCGCCGCTCTCGCTCGTTCATTCATACGAATTAACGGGCCCTCGTAAATTGTACGCGATGAGCAGCGCGGCGCGTCCGCTGCAATTAAGCGCGATTGTGCCGCCTAGAGAGTAACTCTCGTTCGTCATCGCAAGCGCAATGAATTCGTGTCATGCCAGAAGATGTTGACCGGATTAGACCGCCAGCCGAATTGAGAGAATGACCGAACGCGCGCGCGGCTTCGTCATTGTCTATCGCGCGATAAATTGATATTAAACGAGGAATTACGCCGGTCGCTATGCCTAGTCGCTCGTCTCGCCGTCTCGGAATTTTTTCTAGACGGGTCATAAATTGAAGTTCGTCACGTGGAGGAATCGCGCAAGTTTTCTAATCTGTGAGATGGCCAAAAAAAATTTCTAATCTCGTGAAGAAAGATAGGATAGGTAGATATCGTTAGAGTGCGTATCATTCTTCTTGTTAATGAAAAGTTTCCGAAAAAATTTTAATTTTTTGTGCAAAGAAATAGAATGCATAGGTATCGCGCGTTATGTCATTCTTTAATGTTTTTATTAGTGAATTCACATATAAATTTTTTTAGATGTAAATTTGATTTAAATACAAAATTGTTTAATTAAAAATTAAAATTAATAAAATATATAAACAGGCGACATAATTTTATTTATTTTACTTTTATTTTAATTCAATGAAATTTTAACTTAAAATTATAAATTGTGATATTTTAATGTTGAAAAAATAAGTATTAAATAGCAACAAATAATGATTTCTTATAAAATTTTTACTAACGAAGTTTTTTTTTGTTTTAGGAGCAAAGCTTCTTCTTGGACAATCACAGCAAAGAAAGAAAATTAATACAAAGTAAGAATGATATAAAATGACTGATTTACGCATGCAATGAAGATTGAATTTTCAGTCGTTATCAACGTTACGAAGTGACAAAAATATCCAGTTGTAAATAGTAATTGTAAAAATATTGTTCATAACACAAATTTGCAGAGTGCTATCAAGAATATTTGCGTTTTTCTCCAACGCTGTTTTCCACTGACGATCAGTTTACACAACGTAAATACAAAAATAGCAGACTATCTAATAATAACTTCACTGCATCCATATTTGCAAATACAAATAGCAGAATTTGTGTTCGTATGTTTTAATAAGATTTTAATAAGATTTTGAATTTAAATTATATAATTGTTCATAAATTATTGTATATCATTTATGATTTTAATAATTTTCTGTCTTAAAAAATTTGCAAGAAATCAAATACGATCATAGAGAGATTATGGCATCATGTAACATAATTAAATTGGGAATTGTTTTAAATTAATTAAATTAAGGAATAAGTCTTATAATTAAAATATGATAATTATGAGAAAGACTTTTTCTTCAAGTTACATTCTTACTTGTGTTTAGAAAACAAATCATATTATAGTCCATTTTATATATTCTTGTTTTATTTCTTCATATTCTTCTTTTATTCTTTTATATTTGTCATTTATAAGTAGTTATTTTATGTGCTGATCAAGATTAGCTGATTAAAAATAACTATAAACTTATCATAACATTAATTAAATTTGTATTTTTCTTACAATTCCTGTTATCGTAGGGGATGAAGAACAAGACTTTTTTCATAACACACATTAGAATATCAAATAACAATTTGTTTAAATATAAACTTTATACTTTTTAAATTCATAAAGTATAAAAGGTAGTTTTCATCTAAATAACTGTTTTATCGTGAACAAGCATTAGATCGAAAAATTGCATCCAAAACATTAAAAGAAATGTAAAAAAAAGATATTTAAAAAAAAATTTCTATCAGTACTCACGAATATAGAATTGTAGATTTTATCGTAGAAAGCGATGGGAGTTTTGAGGATCGCCTCCGCGGATATTAGCATCCGGTTCGGGTCGCTCTCGAGGACCAAGGAGCCCGAATCCGCGTATGGATATAAATCGTTTTTGGACAGGGCAGCGGTGTAGGGCGCGATTAGGGCCAGCGCGAGGCCCAGCAGGACGCTCCAGCGTACGCCGCGAGCCATTCTCTCGGACTGCCTTAACGCTACTGCTGTTCGACTTGGCTACGACGTCTCTTCTCTTGTCGCCCCCTAATCGTCTTTGTCCGCCGCTGCTCCTCGACCGGCGCGATCGTCCCGAATATATAAAACGTCACGCTCACTTCCCGCGCTCGTTGATAATTTCATGACATCGCTTCGATCCCGCCGCGATCCTAATAAACTAAACGTGTAATAGAGTGCATCTCGAATGTAATTCCTCAACTTCTCTCTTTTTCTACCTGTACATTATTCATACTGTACAATGATCACTTGACATGATGATGTCCTACCGCAAGTATACTGGAGATCGAAGCAAATCAATGAATTTGACAGATTTCTTAATTTTTCTATATTTAATTTTTCCAAAATATTATGTTGTATTTATTTTTTATATTGATTGAAAGAGATTTTTGAAAAGTTTAATTATGTTGAATAAGCGACGAGAGATGTTTATGCAATCTTGAAATCTCATAGAGATGAATACGGAAATCGCAGTCGTGTGTGATCACATGCCTATTTTAAATTATTATTTAAAATATTACAAATATTACAGATTTTTCCGAGAGCAGCGTTTTTCATTTAAAGTTCTAATTTTTTAATAATTATTAGTACATCTTAAAATAATTCTGACATATGTACAGAGGTATTCGCATAGAATATTATTACATTATTATCTTCGCACATTTTTTTATGTATACGCGTGTGAAAACGCACGATAAAAACATTATCATCATTTAAATTACAATAGCGGTGCATTCATGCCACGTATTTTTTCGCATGTGAAATTATGATTCATTCAATTGTATCTTCGGACGATTTATTCAAATGTCGAGATTTACGCTATTACGTGATACATATTGTAATCGTGTGGATTTTAAGGATTTAATTGCGACCATAATCGTATTTTATCTGTGACTGAGATAATTGAGCTGCAAGGTTATGCATCCCGCGGCTAAATTGGCTGACATTGCTGACGCAATGATTTTCGAGCCATTACTTTGTATTCAAACTGCATCGCGTCCTGCATTTAAAATCGATAGATTTCATGTAGAATTTTATTTATTTTCGTCTTTAAAATATCCATCAGAATTTTTCTTACATTATATTTTATCGTAATTTCGAGTTTTTAATACAGTTAACTTCATGTTTTATAAATATAATCATGTGAGAAATAGTCATTTATTTATCGCAACAAATGCAATTATTTTATCATTATAAAAAAATGATGCTATTGCAATAAATAGTTAGTTTGTTATGCATCGGCTAAGTTAAGATAAATTGACCTTTAAAAATTGCATTGATTTTTAATAGAGCTTCACATTTTTCGTCTTCTATCATTACGCTCGATCAAGCAATTTCTCTGAGACGGTATGCGATTTATCTGAAGCTTTGTGGCCGTTTTCTACGCGAAATCGCGTGCAGTTTTGCGTTGTGAAACAAAGTATAAACGTCGACAGATAAACGGAGGTGGACCTACATTCGCATACTCCGCCTAGAATTGCGTCGCGGCCTAGAACGTCCCAATAAATTGTCTCAGGAATTCGTCAGGGTCGCTCTCCTTCTCGCGCTCGTTTAGTATATGACGGTATGTGAGCCGCTCTTATTTTGGAAATGGCATACATTACATTGAAAAATAATGAATTTGAGACTATTCTATAGTGCATTACATCGTCAGAAATGAGAAGATCATGAAGATAATCTTTCCTCGTTTTTTTTTGCAATCAAAATAAAAGCTAATTAAAATAATGAAAATAATTAGTGGTTTACATATGTGGCAACTGAAATTTGATAAGGATATCTGGAGCAGAGACAATGATTCCGGGATGCACGTTGTAAATTGATCTTTATTACAAGAAATTACATGACTAATTTGTACATATAAAATATAAATATCATACAAGTACTATGGTACAGAGACGCATGTTTTCCGGTGGAAAGTGGAAGTAGATTGCTAGTTACAATTAATAATTACTATCACTATAATTCGTTATTATTACTGTTGTATTCACGGCAGACGGACTGATACGCTCTTGGCAATGTTTTTAACTCAGATTGAATTCGGACACGCGACGATAAGTAAACAATTATACGTACGAATTTTAACGTTACACGTGACAAATTATGTATAAAGACATTTTCCGCGATTTTCGAAAAGACGGAAATGAAGATTCGCTCTCTGAATATAATCTCTTTGGGTAGATTAGCGAATGGAACGTTATATATAATAATTATCATAAATGATCGCAATCATTTGAGTAATCGATCAACATGAAAAATCATAATTTTCTTGCGATAAACAATTTGTTCAACAATATATATTGAATATCCATAATACATTAATGAAGAAAGGAACCGACAGATAAAGCAATGACGATAATTTCAGCCACAAACTCATCTTTGATCGTTGATGAGCGAGATACGGAGAAATGAACGTGTAAAATCTCTTTAATTAGCGCGACATTAGGGCGACACGAAGGAATCACTTGGTTTTGTTGCCTTCTATCTGTGGATGGCGATTAATCTGGTTCCACGAATCTGTGAAAATGACGTTTGTGCCTTCGCATTTACATTTCGTGTTTAACGCTAAATGCGACTATCAAATTTTTCTATTTGTAGCGATCTTTCCGGTGCGACCTCAAAATTATATCAGAAACATCTCACACTTTGAAACTCAATTCTTGAGATGTTCGCATTTAATGCTAAATGCAATATGTAAATATGTATATATATGTATACACATGTGATAATCAGTCGCGTTTACGTGTTTCACGTCGGTATTCACGTACAATAATTGTTTTGCATTGTGTGTATATGTATCTATATGCGTGTGTGCTTATATATTCATATACATATACGTGTGTATCATGCATAAATCTCAAGGTATAACAATTTAGGACGCGAAAAAATCGTGTTTTTTTTCCATCGATATCGGTCCATCATGATTCGCATCAGAAAACTAGAATACCTCAGTTTCTGCCATTCCTCTTTCCTTCTCTATACGTTACTCCCATGCCGATTTATTTTTATCCCATCTATTTTTATTCTTTCCGACTTTATCCCCGCCTGTGCTTATATCCTCTCCGCGTCCTCCCTTCGCATAACATTTTCACATCGGAAACGAGAGAGTTAGACTCCTCATTTTTTCTTCTTTCTCTCTCTCTCCTTCTCCTATTTCTCTCTTCTTTTTTTTCTACAAGTTTCAATAGCACTCGCGTGAAAGTTTCTTACAATTAACAAAAATTTATGATTTATTATTATTCTCATCTCTTTTCCTTCTTCTTTTCGCTACATGCGTTCTTTCTTTCTTTCTTTCTCTCATTCGCTCTATCTTCTTTTCCGCTTCTCTCTTTCGCATCTTTCTAAGTGAGTTACAGAACCCTACGAAGTGCGGTAACTGTTGATAACGATTAAAGCTACGATAATACCATGAATTAACGTGCGTGTATTAAATACATTACGGCGCATTTCGTTAATCGATCGATCGTTAATGGTATAAAAAGATTTCTTTTTGCACTATTTTGGCAGTGCGTTGCTCGTTCATTCACGGCAGATTTCCCATTGCTTTCGTTTGGCTTCCCCGCAAAATCGAAGCTCGATATTTTAATGAAAAAAATTTGCATTTATTTCTAACATTAACTTCTATTGTTATGAGACCATTTCCATCGACAATCTAAATTAACTAGCATCGCTGAATTTCTTCTCTCTTCCTGAATCATAGATAGAGAAAGAGAAATTTAATCATTCGATGCTCTCTAAATTGTGTAGACGATCTCAGTTGTTGATACTGTAATAATCGAGATTGTATCATTATAACTAATTTGCGATCGTTTATGATCGGTTTTCTCGATCTTCATTCGACTGTCTTTCCGCGGTCAATTGATTCGATTATGAATATGGACGCGTGTCGTATTGTTTCTAGATTGAGATAAATATCTCTAGTCTACTGCGACAGTTTTATCCGCTTGTTTTGTTTGTCGCTGTTCCCGATGAATACGCAGTTTGGCCGGTTGGCCAGCAGTCTTTTTAGGTCGGAAATCTATCTTTTATAACTTACTAATGGCATCAGTCAGATAGTATGGCAGCGATAATATTTGATAATAAATGACTCTGAATAATAGAATGTGAAAATAAAAGTATCAACTCTCATGTACATAAAATGCTAATATAAACGCGACACGAGCATTGTCCTCGAAACTGACTTACTTACTCGTGTCGCTATAATAACATGCGAGAATTACTTAATATCTTCATTCTGTATCCTGAGAAACATCGTTGGAACTGAAACAATCGCGAAATCTCTAACACGAATACATTTTTCGTTAAAACTCTATAATATAACTTCGATAAGACACGTGCGTGTGCGTGTACGTGTGCGATACTTCGGTGTAAGACTCTTTTTAGGTTTCTTTATTTCTCGTTTAATCTTGCTAGTACCGTTAGGCTTAACAATAGCGACGACATACGATGACGATGACGATGATATATCATAATATATCATTAACAATTACTGGACGGAGTCGAGCGACATCGACGCCATTCTCTGCTAATTTATTCCATTCTATTCGGCGACCTCGCTCGTCTCGTTTCAACGATTAAATTCGTAGGTGGATGGGCGGGATTGGTGATCAACACGCGGTCGTGCGTGCTGATCCAAGTTTACGTTAGGTGATGTTAATCTCGGCTGTCGGCTGCTCGGTTGTCGGCTGCTGAGGACAGGAGTCGAAGCAGGTGACCAGAAGAACGTGGCTCTTACAAGCCTCCACTCTTTTCTGTAGAATACATGTCTCGACCGTCAGAGCTTCCAAAAATGACGGATTTCGCCAGTCCATGCTGTCTTCTACGTACACTATTTTTAAAATCAAATATGATCGTAATAATATGTACATGTCACTAATCATGATTTATTATATTGTAAAGTTGTTTTATATCTACACTTGTGTAGATGTAAAAATTAAAATCGAATATAATAACATCTATTATTAAATAAAATTTACTTGAATATATATATATATATATATATATATATATATATATATATAAATTATATATGTTAATATAAAAATTAATGAAATCAATTATTCACATAATTGTTTAAGATTTTTATTTATTTATTTATAATATAAATATTGTTGGATTACATTAAAAAATCGTGACATATTGTTTTGAACAACAGGCAATTGAGAAAGAAATAAAAATATTTGTATTTACATAACATTCGAATTTGTCGCTGATCTGAATACCAATACTTACGATTATAGTCCCAGCGAGTGTCGGGCACCATTAGGCGTCTTTTGGCGTCGCGTAGCTCCAGCCTAAGAAGGCGCTGGCGCAGGCGCAGGCTGTGTATCCTGGACATCATTCCACGTGGATTCGAGCGCACCCGCGCGCGCCTGTCCAGGATGTCTACGTCCTCGCCTGTATACGCGAGAATCGCCGACGCCGCGGGCGGCCCCGGTTGAGCCCGGCAGTGGGCCCGCGACCGCCGAAGCTCGTACCCTGCCGCCCGCTGTTCCACCGCTGAAACACCCGCACAACGTCGAAGTTAGAACTCCCAGCGCGCCACCTGAGGAGAATCACCGTACGGCGGGATTGTTTTAGAGGGCTTGCGTATCCTTTCGAGCAATATTGAAGGCGCTTCCGACAATACCTTCGTGCTTTGCGTACTTTAATGGAGTCAGATGTTAGATAGTTTTAGAAAGAGTTGAGCGTTAGGGGGTGGAGCAAATAACGAGAGAGATGGGATGAAATTTCCATGCGAGGTGAATGAACTAAAAAAAATCGACTAACTACTATTATATTAAAAAAAAATAAATAAATTTCTCTATTTTCTATATATTTTGATTTCTAGTTTAGGTTATTTTGTTTAACTGTGTCATTAGTAAAATGAACAATTTTGGTATTATATCGTATGCTTTTTTAAGAATGAATGTTCGGAAGATACTTAACGATTACCTTGATGTTCCTGTAACGCGCCAGTTTGTCGGGACGAGTCGCTAGTGATACTGCTCGTCTCGCTATCTCTAACGATACTGTCATAACCGGAGCTTTCAGCACGATGTCTGGATAGTGTGGCCGGTGATAGTTTAGCCGCTCGTGGCGTTGTATCCGCACCGGAATCGGAGCTCTCCTTGTTGAGACCAAACGAGGAGCCGAGGCTAAGGATCTTGCGTTGCATTCGTCCGGAGGAAGGCGCCGGAGACGGCATCGACAATTGCAAGGAAGTGCCGCCTACAATATAAAATATATAAATGTTATTTATTATTTTTTTAATATAAAAAAAGCGTTTATTTATATTGGTAAATTTATTAATTTTCAAGTAAAAGTTTATTCAAACGTGCAATTCAATATTTTTATTATTTAAGTCAAGAATCAGACGCTATGATTGAACTTTCTATCGATTTTTAATCAACGCAAATTTTTATAAGTATGTTATAAAGATATTAAAAAATATCTGAAAACGTTTATTTAGATTTTACTGCTGTTCCATCTGTACCTTGAATCTTCAGATCCTCTTCGATGTCGGATTTTCCTGTTACCGTTCTCTCGGACCTTTCGGCAGCCGTGAATAGCTTCTTCGCCTCTATATATTCCTCTTCGGGATCCGAACCGGATGCTCCGTTTCCGGGTATCCTTTCGATCTCCTCCTTCAGATTGGGATTCGAAGCGCCATCCGGATGCCTCAGACTCGAGATGTTGCAGTCGCCCAACTTGCCACAGTACCTTCTAGGACTGGCGAGATGGGCAACGCTACTGGGATACCAATAAGAGGCCGTGGCAGGCCTAGACATGCTCTGACGACAATTATCGCAGATTTTTTCTTGATCGGGCTTGCCGGCTATGTATGCAGGTTCACTATAGATGCTGCCGTGATTGCTTGCGTTGTCGTTGAATAAGACATCCGAAAGGGACAAGGATTGACAGCGAGACGGCGGACGGAAGACGGTCGCTGCTGGAATTTGTCCTGCGTTAATGTTATACTGGATGTAGACCGCAGATTGCTGGCTGTAGTGCCTTAATTAACATCTATTATTCGTTTGAAAACGATTTTTTATTTTTAATCAAGCGGCAGATCGCGATTTTAATTTTTTATTTGGATTGTCATAATTTTGTTATATTTTGTTTCACTTTTTTTCAATGATTAATAGAGAAAACATGAGAGTAAATTTACAAAATAAAGCACTATTGTGTTTACGTGAATTTAGATCTCAGATTTGAAAATTGCGTTTTCTTCTATGATGCGGTGATCGAATATTGTAAGCGAGAAATGACACAACTGTGTATCCTAAAGAGCGAATAACGTCCATCTCTCGAGAGAATTCAATGTAACGGTAAAAGAAATCTGTCTGGTTTTCTTTTTGCCGTCGACAAAATTGATTGAGTCTCCAATCGCGAAAACTTACATGGAGCATCTCGTACGTTGACGGTGGAAGAGTTTTCTCTCTGGTAAGTCACGGAGTTGGAAACGTTGGCGAGAGCGAGTTTGCTTTGGTAGAGCTCATGGAGGCGGGCCAACTGATCGAATTTGTGCCTGGTCTCTTGCTCGAGAAAGTCCTCGTGGTCAAAGTATGGCCTAGGTAGAACACCGGCACCAACTGGCGGCGGATAATGCGGTCTATATCTCTCCGTGTCTGACATCACCGACATAGAGTCTGGAAATTATTTTTCTATCTTGTACCTTTCGTCCGTTCAAGTTTATCGTGTAAGAAGTCGCTGGGTAAGAACGACGAGGGAAAATAGCGGAACTATAAGACAGCTGTCCGCTTTGGTTTGAAAAAGGGGACGCCAATGACATGTAATTATATCAGAGTATCTGTCTTTGAGAGAAGTAAATTATTGTATTCTATCTCATGGTCTATTAGTCGTCTCTAGCATCAAAAAATCAATTTTGAAATGAAGCGAAAAATTTTTACAAAAGTTTATTGAACGACAATTTTTCATGACAAAGTAATTGCGATAAGATAGAAATTGAATATGATTATATAGATTTTTATGGAAATTTTGATTCAAATAGCAAGATAAAAAGAATATTTATAATAAATTATTATAAATATTCTCCTTATCTTGCTATTAAAATAAATAAAATTAAAAAAAATAATTAAAATAAATTAGTCAATCTTTGTAAATTAAGAGTTACCATAATAAGAGTTACTATAATTATTTATTATACATTAATAATGAAATATATAATGAGCGTTTAAAAAATTAAGTATTTTGCATAAACGAAAATTTACTTACCTGTGAAAGTTGACACTACAGTGAGATTTTCTTGGCTAAGAATTCTTAGAGGATGTTCTTCTTGATCGCTCTCAAGCAGAAGATTTTCACCCATACAGAGCGCGATGTCCTCTTCAGTCACTTGTAAACACGAGTCTTGCATAGGTACTGGTTCCAAATCTTCCTCGACAATCTCTAAAATTTCGTCCTCCGAAGACAACGAATGTCTCGAAGGTAGAACGATATCCTTATGCGACAGATTCAGACTTTCCATGGAGACTTCTCGGCTTACTCCGTTACTGAGTGGTTCGATCAACGGTAGCGGTGGAGGTACGACAATTTCTTCATCGTCATCTTCGTCATCTGGCAGATCGAGCTTCCCCTTTTCGACATTGTCATCCATCACCGGACTCGCTGTCAAATCTAACCCTGAATCCGTATTGGATTTAACGTTAAGCAGATTCAGCTTGGCGCTCAATTTTTCGGTTATATCCTCGATCTCGTTCGCTTTCAAGCTATCACTCTCCGTGGACAATGACGTATCGTCATCCTCCATACCGCTGCAGGTTTTGAACTGTGTCAGTTCTTTAAACTGGCCGGATGACTGGCCGGATGAAGACATCTTGGAGGAGTCGAGCCGCGACCCGACGTGTTTCGCTCGCTGTATCTGCGACGATTGATTTTCCACCCACTTTCTAATCATGCTTTTCTTGTGGCTGTCCATGAAACCGTAACCGGAAGACGCATGCTGATGAGTGTGCAATTGCAGCGCTGGCGCGCTGGTCAATTGCATTGGCCCGTCGATCCATGTCTCTCGTTTATGATGCGAATCTTTCAGCATGTGTCTGGCTTCCGCGACCTTCGACTTGGAGATTCTCGGACCATCTATCCACTGTTCGTCGGAACCGCCGCTCGGCGCCGCTATCGGGATCTTACTACTGGGCGAGTCGTTGATCTTGGACGCTGAGGACGCGCTTTTCGACGAGGAATTCTTCCTGGCGGGGCTCGCTTTCGGGGTCACGCTATGTGCCGGCGATGTCTGCTTCGACGCGGTCTGCGTCAGCGTCTTCACCGTCTTGGATTTATGTGCCGGACTACGTTCCTCGGGGACTTTGCTCGGTCTCTCGGCGGCGGAACCGCGAAGCACGCGGCCCATCGCGCAACGATTGTCGCCCGAATTCAAGCTTGGTATGTAAACGGGCGGGTGTTCGCCATCGGTGGCATCGTCGGCGCTCGGCCCGACATAAATCACCGTGTCGGCGGATAGATCACTCGAGCTGGGATCGCACTCGCTGTTCTGCCGAGCCGCCTCCTCGCCGGAACTGCCGCCGCTCCCGGTACCTTGCGTGCCGCCGCCGACGAACTTAATCTTCCGACGTCGCATCCGATGGATTCTCGACGCTAGTTGAACGGTAGTGAGCGTCTCTGTATAGTGCTGGGCATTGGGAGACACGTGCGCTATCATGGCCGCGTGGCAGGTCAGAGAGCCGAGGCACTCCTTGAGCAGTTGTGTCAATTTGTGTTCCTTGTACGGCAAGTGCTTCTGGCCGTTAAAGATCGCGAGAAGAATGTTGCCCAGGCCAGAGAGGGGAATTCCACCCGAAGACTTGCCACGGTCCGAATTTCCCAGATCCATCAGATGCAGTCGACTTCTGCCACCGGCAACTGTGCAGTTGAGAAACAGCGCTATTTTTGAATGTCATAACATAGAGCAAGAAGAACGAGAGGGAATGACGAGGTATCACGTATGGTATACGGAAACTCTGAAATAACGATGAAGAATCGGACGGAAAGCGGGACGGTGATTCAAGAGAATTCGAGACGAAGATTTATTTACCTCCGCCCTTGCCGGCGACGCTGTATTGGTACACGTGCAACGTGTAGAGCATATGCGCGTCGCCGTCCTCCCGTTGACGGCCGGCGACTGCTGCATCGAGGTAGAAAGCTGCGCGTTCTGCCGTAGGCGCGCGGAGCTCGCTATGCTGCTGCAATTGAAGGGTACCAAACAGTGGATCGTCCCTGAGGTATACGGCCGGCGACTGTTCCGAATCTGAGAATAAAAGAACGATCACTGTTACATAACGTTTACCTCGCAGAAGAAGGTAACGCAGATTTTATATGGATTATCCTTATGTAATATTTCGCATCTGTCACGGGCATAATCTTGTTTTTATCACGTCGTCGCGCGTTGAAGATTCTTCGCATTAATGCGATAGAAATTTAGTATTTTATTTTACAATATAAATATGTGCTTTTTATGGAGTATAATACGTCGCATACATTATATAATATATACAGAAAAAAATATTTATAAGAATACTGATTTCCATAAAACATAAGTCGTTTCTCCGTCTTTTATTTTATTATATTAGCGATATAATATGACGATATTTATGCATTTTGATTATAAAAAAAAGAGATAAAAACCAGGCTCTTCGCTTCCCCAGAAGAATGTATCATCTCGTGCACAAAATTTTATCCCGAGTTCGCGTAAACTCCCTAACACACTCTCCCTTTATTTGATTCCATTATTTCGCGGAAAAATAATATTCGCCAAGAACAGGACGAATGAGGCTCGAGATGCAGGTGCGCGCTACTCGAGGCCGTAAATCGGTCGAAGCTCGGGGCTCGAGATATCCATGGGACGCCTCGTTCTAAATTACGACGTCGATAAAACGTCGGAAGATATGTCGCGGGAGATACCTACGTTTCGCTATCGCGCTTTATCACGCGTCCGTATATATGTATGCGGCGGGGACAGTCGGTCGTGGGCTTACATGCGAATAATCAACGTAATGCGAAACACAGCAGTAAATAGTGATCAGCGTAAAAGGGCAATTACGAGATCGGCGGGGAAATACGGGCGCGTGGATCAGACGATCGAATCAGGCAGGGTAATCTTCGTATTGTTGCTGTTTAGCCGTGCAAATAAAACAGTCCGATCGTAAAAGAACGAACGGAGAAAGGCAGTTAAAAGGATAGTTACTCGGACAAAAGAAATTTCGAAGAAAACACTGCGAGCTATCAATTATTGCGAATTGGACATTTCGACGGCGATAAATGTCGCGATCGCGTGTGCTATTGCGAAATGTGAAATAAAAAAAATAAAATTACAAGCTAGACGAAGTTTGATGGCTCGCGAATTATATCTGACGTAATAGGATATAAGATTGAATCTGATTCTTTGTGTAGAAATTACTATCTCTGTCAAAATATATTATGTAATGGAAATATTGTTCAATATTAATTATATGCGTACTCATAATAAATGCACTCATAATAAACAGATGTAATAAATATTTATAATAAAACTAATTTTAAAAAATCTTAACTCGTAAAATATATAAAATAAAGAAAAGAAAATTAAAGTCCTACGAGCATTTCGCGTGTGTTGCATGCATTCAAGTCGCTTTTCGCGCAGAGATATTTGAAATTGTATGTTCTATGATGGGGGGAGGAATGGTTAGGTAAATTGAAAAAACAGACTAAGGATTTCTTCGCGTCGTTGCATCGGAATCCAATAGCGATCTGTGAGAATGTACGTAAAAAGTTACGATAGCAAATTCGGACTTTCAAGAGAAACGCCCGCACTATATAATTACAAGCGTTGCGAATAATTGTGTTGTTACATTCTTGGCAGGACTATTGTAATTGCATTGTATGAAAATTTCAGTCGGATATCGATTTTAAATCCAAACTATTTATATAATATAATGAAAATTTATGTAATATCAAACTTCACAGATACAAATACGTTTCTCGTAGTGGAGGGAAAATTTCTCTAAGAGGTGAAAAAATTTATCTAGAAAAGTAATGTGAATATCGTTAAAACGCTAACACATTTAACAATAAACTCCCTTCGTATTTATGGTGAGAAATCTGCAAAGAGGGTCGGAACGAATGTACGGGAATTTAATTCAAGTAATGCTCTTCGAGTACCTAGCTTTCTATCCATCATTGTACATTGTACATCCGTCCGTCTGAAATTGCCTTTCGTCGTCGCTCTTACTATCCACACGTGTATTTTTTTATGCGTCCGTCTTTATGCACTCAGGACTGATACAGTTGGCCGTCGTTCGCGTTTATACGGTGTTTAGATAACCCCACCCACGTTTGTAAATTGCCAATTAGCCTTTTACCGCCGCGAGCTCGTCTCGGCGCGCTCCTACCTCCGGCATGAACGTCGTAAAGGACGCCAAAGGAAGAACGTTAAAGGATAAGGACGGGACGCGACGACATATGCCGCAGTTTATTTCCGCCCGGCCGTCTGCGACTTTTCACATCTGTTCCTGCCGGAAACCTTTTACCGTTTCTTTATGCCGCGCCGGGAAAATGGCCGCGAATCTCGCACCAAGAACTCCCGAAGAACGAGCTCCGCGCGAGCTTTCGTCGAGTCATTGAACGATTGATTTCGACTATATCCGATATCGTATTAGACGGGAGATACAGTCTAAGTCAGTTGAGCGTGCGACGAAGGAACAAGAGGCGCGCGCGAAAGCAGGAAGCGAGAGTATCCTCTACACTTACCAAAGCTCTCTTGATTTCCGTAATTTGCGAAGTCTCGGGAAACCGACTTAACCGTAGTAGATGTTCGATAATGAAATTCGACGAAGCGTATTCAGCAGGAAAGAGAGAGAAGCTACATCGGAATATTTGCATGGAACGATGATAATGCGCACCCGTTATAGAAATTTAGATAATTCTGCACATTACCATGTATACCAAATTCTTAACAGAAACGCGAAAATGAGCGCGATAGTGAGATTTTGTAAGAATCCGAATTAAGGGAGGTATTTAATATTTATGAGACGCGTGTGAAGCCTGAATAAGTCCTTGGTTTCGTCAGCTTACGCTGGTATTAAGATGCTATGATAAAGTAAGGAGGAAAATTGATAATTGTGTGTTAAATAAGAAATTACGCTGCTTTACTGCATTTAATATATAATATTATAAGTGGAAGTGAATTTTCTATAATATCAATATATATATTTTATTCTTACATTATAAAATTTGAAAAGCTCTTTTCAACTTTTATTTTACTTTTATTTTAGATAATAAATATTTCTTTAGATTTTAGAGAAAAAGGGAGCAGACATTAATACGAAAGATATTTTTTTTCAATATATTATTATAATAATTATAGTTACGTACATAGGTAAATCATAAGCCATTTATGTCGTTCGATATTTATAAATGTATGAAAAATGGATGGAACTGCTTTTTATGATATTACATAACTTCGTTTTTATTATACCGTGTAAATTTTCCGATTTCTTGATTGAGAGGCGACATAAACGACTCTGAAATGAAGCTTAAACTTTGCAACTGAAACATGACACTCTGAAATTCACAACAGACTTCGAGGTAATAATAAGGAAGGCTCGGTCTGGTCGACGTTATATGGATATACGCGCAAGCGCGTACATATGTATACATTGCTCACGTATAATAATTCACACAGATACGAAGCGTGGATGTACGGTGCAGAGGCAACGTAGCAATATCCATAAAAGGGACCGGAGGATGTAATATTACAGGCATCTGTGCCCTGCGGTGTAAAAGTACCGCGAGGAAGGAGACGACGAGTTTGTGATGTCGACGACTACAACGTGAAGCTCGCGACGGGGTGAAGGAGAAGGGAAATGCGGCAGGAGAAAAAGCGATCTGCGAGTAGAATCTTCCTCTTGGCACAGAAATGCGTAATGGACGCGGTTTTGACTTAGGCCAATTGCGAGCGAGCGTCGCGGGTGTTCAAAAAAAAAAAATGCCTCCACACCCTCTCCTTCTTCTTCCTCCTCCCTTTCTCTTTCTCTCTTTCTCTGTCCCTGTCTCTCCACCTCTTGAATAAATCGTTTTTCGACGCGTTTCGAATACAGTTTCCGAGCCCGGTCCCTTCGATCGTAACAGTCCTCATCGTCGCTGGGGCAGAAGGGCAGTAAAGGAAATCTGTTTCGCCTTTCCGGACGGCCGGCTGCGCTCCGGTACGCGACTTGTTTCCCCGAGCTCCGCAATATTTCTACGAGAAGTTTCTCGCCCCGAACACGCGTATCGTTATGAATCAGAGCCCTTCGGGACGGTCTTATCCGCTTGCATCGTTATTAAAACCGGTCGACGCCAAGATTTGATGTCGGAGTTTGGAAGTTATTAAATAGTATTGATCTTTTTATTATAGTGCAACGTTTTTTACTGCTAAAAATAGTGAGCTAAATAATTGAAATTTAAAATTTATGTAACATATAGGGACATATTGTAGAATTTTTAATATTACATGAAATAAACTTGAATAAATTTAACATGACATTTTAGAGTATAATTGATTGAAGGGATTTTATGTAGAATTTAAGGACAGAATTATGCATGTACCTCTTTCTGGAACAAAGTAATTTTGTCCTTTACGGTTTAATAACGTCTTACGGGTTCCTGACGGTTTAATATCCTGAAACACTTTCATTTCATGGACTCCAGAGAGAGAAAGAGAAAGATAGAGGGAGAAAGAGAGAGGGTGACATCACGGTCATTGACGCGAGTTCCCTCTAAGGTCTTTCTTGACATATAGAATCTATATTATATAACGTGATCTATGAGAAATTGATCTTTGTAATAGTTATAAAAATTGTTGGTTGCTATCGATCATGTTACTCGTCGATAGTTTACGACGAACGAAACATCTGCTATAAAAAAATACGAAGTATTAAAATGTATAGATAGATAACTGATGAGACATACATAACATTGTCTGATAATATTCAAAGTATGATATCCTGAAAAGTATATTCTACGTTAAAATATCATACATCACTCGAAGTATCCTTATTTCTCCGCTCGCTTCGATATACAAGAGTGCATTATACAGACACACCACGGTCGACTTTTCCGTAAGTGTTAAGATTGATGTATCGACTGCAGCGGGATCTCTCCCTGTTTGCATGGAATAAGACGCCGCTCAATTCGCAAGACACCCAGTGTATCCATGTGCAATATCACGGGGGGAGGGGAATTCTTTGTCACCGAAGAAGAGGAGACGAAGGGAGAGCAGAAGAAAATTAATGA